AATACAGCTTCAGGGGATTCATCGATAACGCTTTCTGAAGTCCCTGAAACCCATCTGCTGAACATTTGGAGGGTCAGTGGACCCAGGTTAAGACCCCCACTCTCCCTGCCAGTGAAAAACAATTAATGGCCCCCTCAAAGATGTCTGTTGACTCATTTCTGGAACCTATGAATACATTACATTACCCAGCAAACAGGAAAAGGAATTAAGGTTGTAGATGCAATTTAGGTTGAGTCAGCTGACCTTGAGATGGGTCAGTTGGATGTATGCAGTTAAGGATGTTAATTAACCCGCTTTGATCCTGGATTATCTGGATGGGCCCAATCTAATCACGTTAGTTATTAAAAGCAGAGCACCTTTCCCGGCTGTGGCGAGAGGGTGATGTGACTCTGAAGAACAGAGAAGAAGGGTTGCTAGCTTTTGAAGGGGACCACAAGACAAGGATTGTGGGCAGCCACCAGGAGCTGGAAAAGCAAAGAAATTCATTATCCCAGAGCCTTCAAAAAGGGATGCAGCCCTGCCAACATCTTGACTTTAGCTTAGTGAGACCCATGTCAAGCTTCTGACCTACGGAAGTATAAGATAATGAATTTATATTGTTTTAAGCCACTAATGTTGTGATACTGTTACGGCAGCAATAGGAAACTAATCCAGTACACTGCCCCCAACCCATACATAGTTTATACATGTAACCTTTAGAGCTTTCATTCAGAATAAGCCTAAATGGCACATTGATTCCTAAAATCTATTTTTAATGTAACTCTTTTGTTTCACAGCCTTGTTTCAGTAAAATGTTAAAAGTTTCCTGCTAAAATGAAAATATGAAACTAGATTTTTAAAAATAAAAGATAGCTGTTGAGCCCATGTTAAATAAGAATGATTTTCCTGGCCAGGCACGGTGGCTCACACCTGTAATCCCAGCACTTTGGGAGGCTGAGGCAGGCAGATCACAAGGTCAGGAGATTGAGACCATCCTGGCTAACATGGTGAAACCCGGTCTCTACTAAAAATACAAAAAAATTAGCCGGGCGTCGTGGCGGGCGCCTGTAGTCCCAGCTACTCAGGAGGCTGAGGCAGGAGAATGGCGTGAACCCAGGAGGCGGAGCTTACAGTGAGCTGAGATCAGGAGACAGAGTGAAACTCCATCTCCAAAAAAAAAGAAATTTATTATTGCCTAAAAGAATCAGATTTTAAAATGTGGAATGTTTGGCAAAAAATTAAAGATCCACATGTCTAATAACTATGGTTGCAAAAGCTGAATTTTCCTAAAGAAGTTATGAAACTGATTTAAGAAAACTGGATCTGTATACATGTGAGCTTTGCAATGCTCCCAGGGTCATAAAGACCCAGAGTAAACAAGTAAATAATTGACAATTGCCATTCCCTTGGCATGATTTCTCTATGGCTTCAGAAGTTGCAAAATATGAGAATGGAATTTTCTTGGTTGGCCCAGTTCCTTCTCTTTCTGCTTACTCCCTTTACCTTCATGTAAGCAATATCATCTTATCTCATAGTAATGAATGATTATTTCTTGGGGGTTATGCTAGGATGATGAGTCTTTGTATTAGGAACTTTTAGTGTTCATTTTGTTTTGTGATGGAAAATAAATGCATCAAATATCTTTCAAACTTTAACAACATTTTTCTTTCCATTAATGTTTTAAGATACAATTTTTTTTTTTTTTTTTTTTTTTGAGACGGCGTCTCACTCTGTTGCCAGGCTGGAGTGCAGTGACGTGATCTTGGCTCACTGCAACCTCCGACTCCCTGGCTCAAGTTATTCTCCTGCCTCAGCCTCCCGAGTAGCTGGGATTACAGGCACTCACCACCACTCCCAGCCAATTTTTGTATTTTTGGTAGAGATGGGGTTTCACCATGTTGGCCAGGATGGTCTCGATCTCCTGACCTCATGATCCGCCCGCCTTGGCCTCCCAAAGTGCTAGGATTACAGGCATGAGCCACTGCACCTGGCCCAGTTACAATTTTTTAAAATATATTTTTAAGGAAAGTATTTTTAACTTTACTGATATAAAGCCCTGGTTCAACCTGACCACCTGGCATTTTGTGTTTGTCCATCTGAACCAAGTAGCTTTTGAAGATGTCAATTTTCCTTAGAAATGGTTCGTTACTAAAGAACATATACTTGTTTTTGTCAGTTTCAATGAAATGAACCGGAATATAAGTTATAGAGGAAAACGTCTTATACAAAAAAGAAAAAAGGTAAACATATCGTATTTTTTAAATGGCTTGTTACTTTTAAATCCCTTAAGGGTAGGGGGAATAATCTTTGTATATATAAATATCTTTGTATCTCAAATGCATAGCATGTTGGCAGGAATGTAATAGGTGCTTAGTAAATATTTGTGGAATTAAAAGCCATTCCTTGCCCACATTCATTGAATGTATCACTGCTTAAATCCCATTGAACTTCTATTAAAAAGAAAAAAAAAGACCAGGCACAGTGGCTCACTCTATAATCCCAACACTTTTGGGAGGTTGAGGCAGAAGGATTGCTTTTGAACCCAGGGTCTTGCTATGTTACCCATGCCAATCTGGGCAACATAGCAAGACCCTGTGTCTATAAAATGATACAAAAATTAGCTCGGCCTGTGGACTCATGCCTGCAGTCCCCACTACTCGGGAGGCTGAGGTGGGAGGATCACTTGAGCCCAGGAGTTTGAGACTGCAGTGAGCTATGGTTACACCACTGCACTCCAGCCTGCACAAAAGAACAAGACCCTATCTCAAAAAAAAAAAAAAAAAAAGTATATCAATAGCAAGAATCTAATGAATTCTAGTAGTCTTTGTATGTCTGAAAAGTTCTTACATGATAGTTTAACTGGGTATAGAATTCTAGGTTGACAGGTTTTTTTTTTTTCTCTGCATGTTGAAGATACCCCATTTTCTTTTGGTGAATAGGATTGTGATGTTAATGAGAAGCCTGATGTTAGTTTGGCTTTTGTTTGTTGGTTGGTTGTTTGTTTTCCTGAGACATGGTCTGGCTCTGTCACCCAGGCTGGAATGCAGTGGCACGAACTTGGCTCACTGCAACTTCTGCCTCCTGGGCTCAAGCCATCCTGCCACCTCAGTCTCCAGAGTAGCTGGGACTACAGGGGCATGCCACCACAGCAAGCTAGTTTTTGTATTTTTTTTGTAGAGAAAAGGTTTTGCCACATTGCCCAGGCTGGCCTTGAAATCCTGGGCTTAAAGCAATCTGTCCGCCTCAGCCTCCCAAAGTACTGGGATTACAAGTGTGAGCCACCGTGCCTGGCGTAATTTGGCATTTCTTTGTAGGATGTCTTATCCTGTTTCTCTGGTAGTTTTTAAGGTATGCCCTTTATCTGTGATATAACAAAATACAGATTTATTTTCATTTTTCCTACTAGGGATTCTTTCTCCTTTTTCAGTTTGAGGATTCCTTTCTTTTACAGGTCTCTGGCATTATCTCTTCCATTTTCTCCATTCTCTCCTGGCATCTTAGAAACTTTGCTATGTCTTCCGTCTCTTAACTTCCCTATTTTTTTTAGTCTCTGCACTTCATTCTGAGTAATTTTATCCTTCCAATTTATCAACTGCAGTGAGCTGTGATCATGGCACTGCACTCCAGCCTGGGTGACAGAGTGAGATTCTGTCATGTGTTTATTTATTCATAAATGAATATCTTTTCAGATTGCTTTATTATAGGTAATTCCTCAGATTTCAGTTCTTATATTTGTTACATATGCTCAACTTCATGGTGGTAGGTTTTATATGTTCTTGATAATTTTTGTCTGAACTCCTCCTGTTTTCATTGGAATCAAAAGCATTCTCTGGCTTACGGCAGTCTTCCCATGGTATATTTTTTATTCACCCCTGATTGAGATCTGTGGTTTTCACTAGTTCTGGACAAATTGTTTATGTTGATTTTCAGCTTAGAGTTCCCATACCACCAGGTGGTACAAAATCACATTCCACACGTGGCACTGGCTGGGCATTCCTGTTCGTCACCAGTGATTCTTTCTATCTAGAGTAAGAAAGTGGTCTGCTTCTAGCCTGTGTCCCAGGTTTGGCTTTCCTGGCTTTAATTTGCAAATTTGACTCCTCATTCCTGTTTTGTGTTTCTTTGTTGTTTAGTGCAGGGAGTTAAACCGCGTTTCCATCTCCGCTCTCCACATGAGTGCTGTAGACTATAACTTAAGGACCGACCCTACTAGGGCTGCTGAGCTTCAGCTCCTGCTCACCACTGTGGGACTTCCTTGTTCGGGGCACCTAGACATTCTGCTTGCTTACTTTTGAGCTCCAGTGTAATTTTGTTGTTGTTACTGTTAAATTGTATTTAGTATTTCTCTTTTTGGAATAGGATGAGGACTCTACCTATTCATACTGTATCATCTTGTCGGGAAAACTGGGACTATATATAAAGTTTATTTTTCTTGACTCACTGTCAGTAAAATTTGTTAGACAGGCAATTCATGGTCTCTGTAAAACGATTATGATTCCATCTATAATTCAGCCAACTGTAGTTAGCATCTCAAAATCACTAAATATTCTTGCAACCCAGCAGAGGTTGAAATAAATGTAAGATTTATGGTTTCTTATTTATTTATTACATAAAGATTGCTATTTTTTACATTTATGCATTATATGAAATTAGACAACTGAAAGACTGCTTAATAATTTTGCAATTATTAAATTAGAAAATTTTAGATATCCCATGTTTATGCCATAGTGTATATAATCATTAATTTTTATCCTTTGGTATAGTAGATATCAACATATGTATCAGTATGCCCGAGTCTTGACAACGGAAATAACATGTTATTGCCAATACTTTTATATCTTAAAGGTATAAAATAATTTTTTCCTGTGTCATTTTCTTAAAGACCTAGGTTAACATCTTCTGACGTTGATGTCAGTTGGGGAATGTGATTTACTTCATTATAAAGAGTGTGACATTCTCGTTATTTGACCAACAGTGACTATGTTTTCAGACATAGCTTTTGTTTCCTTTCTTTTTTTCAGACATATAAAGAAAAGGTGAATGCAAATACATTGCCACACACAAAGAAAGGCCAGCAACCGAGCGAAGGCAGCATTTCACTTCCTCTTTACATTTCACACCCTGTGAGCCAAAAGAAGAAAAAAGTCTACCGTACAAACCAGACCACCTTCATAATTGGAGAAACACCAAAAGGAATCCGCAGGTACATCGTCTCTGACAACACTAGACTTGGAGAATAATTCTGAAGAGAAATGTAGCTTGGTAGTAAAATATACAAATATTTGGATTATAACCATAACTGACATCTGAATATTTCAGAAAAATCTGAATTTCAAAAATAAATTGCAAATGTTTTAGATATTGTTAGAAGGCTAATCCCTGAATTGATTACCATAAAAAGGGAAATCATGTTATACAAAGAAATGAAATACTTAAGTACATTTTATTCATTCAGTCAGTGAATATATTTTGAGCACCTAATATATGCCCAGGCATTGTGCTGAGTCTTGAATATACAGTGTGAAAAAAGGACAGATGTAGAGCCTGCACTACAGAGGAATGAGGTTGGCATCAAACCATAAAGTTTTAAAAAGTAAACCTACAAATAATTATAAAATGGTGTGTTATAAGAAAAAAGAGAAAGAGAATAATAGAATGGGGAGGGGATGTGGAACCACCTTTCTTTTGGGAAGTCAGGGAAGACTGTCTACACAGGTAGCATTTGTGTTAAGAGCTGAAGGATAACCATGCAAAGAACCAGAGTAGGAGCATCTCCAAGGAGGGAACAGGTTTGGTGTGGTCAAGGAGCTGAGAGAAGACTGGTGACCTTAGTGCAGAATAAACCAAGCAGAGAGTAGCATGAGATGGAGGGTAGAGACGCAGGCGGGGCTGGAGCGTGCCAACCCTTGGAGGCTACAGAAAGACTTTGGATTTTGTTCCAAGTGCAGTGGAAAACTGTTGAAGAATGGCACGATCTGATGTATCTTTTTGAAAGACAGTTCCAGCTTCCCTGTGGAGGAGGGCAGAATGAACAAGGGTAGATGAGAAGGAACTCAGTGATGGGGGTTTGCACCAGAGTGGTTGCCATGAGGATAGAGCCAAGTGGATGAATTCAATTTGGTGATGGACTGGTTCGGGAAAGAGAGAGAAGAAGATTACTTCTTTCTGTCTTGAGCAACAGAGTGGAGGTACTGAATGGGGAAAACCAGAGAGAAACAAGTTCAGAGAGGAAAAAAATCAAGAGTTCCCTTTTGCTCATATGAAATGTGACATTCTGTGGAAAGGTTCAATAGGCAGTGTATGTATGAGCTACTTCTGGTTTGGGGATTCAATTAATGATTTAAATTTGGGAGTCATCAGCATAGAGTTTATAAATGGTCTTCAGAACTGTGAGACTATGTTTGCAGCCTAGGAACAGAGCACAGAGAGGAGGAGAGAAGCCCCAGGACACAGACTGGAGGCAGCAGCTCCTCCTGGAGGGAAGTGTAAGAGGCACAGTGTCAGGTCCTGAAGTCCAGGAGTAGTGAGAGGGTCTTAAAGGGAAGGAGTTCTTAACTTTATCAAATACTGCTGAGAACCAGAAGCAGATGACGTGGGAAACTGCCCACTGGAGGTAGTAGCAGAGCACTCAGCAGGCACCTTGGCAGGAGCAGCCTGGGAAGCAGTGCACAGGCCCTGGCGGGAGGTGGCAGGTGCTGTAAGTTTGGATGGAAGCAGTGGGCAGGTGCCTGCTGGTGGGAGGTGGCCAGAGCTATAAGTTTGAATGTAAAAAGTAGCAGCAGCCAGAGGGCATTGCGGGTCTTAGAGTTGAGATAGCAGAACCCGTTGTGTGTTGAGGGAAAAGACTTGTAGGAAAAAAGGAGATCATGTCAGAGAGGTGAAAACAGAAAGAGGGAGGGCCTGGAAGCAGTGGAGGGCGGTACCCAAACCACAGGCCATGGTCTGGCCTTTGAGAGGCATTGAAAGAGAAGGGACAAACACAGGCACAGATGTGACATTTTCTCAGTGAATTGAGAACTGAAGCCCTAAGTTCAGAAAGAGAAAGATTTAGGGAGAGAGAAGTTAGGAAACAAATCATTTATAAAGTAGGAAAGTAGGCTTAATGGGACTAGAATTTCTGGATGGCGTTAAGTTCCCATTTGAGAATAATTTCAGGAAAATCATCTGTCCAGTTTGCATATTTTATTCAGCAAGCTTCAGTTGCTCTGTTGCAGACACAAGTAGAGAGATGGCTGGGTCTGCCCAGGGGTTAGAATGAAGGGAGAGAGAAGCAAGGAAGCTATAGAATGTTTGTAAAGGAGTGATTATAAAGTTAAACCTAAGCTGGACAAGGGAGGCTGATGGATCGTGCAAAAGCACAAGAGTCCGTGAATTTGAGGACTTGAGTTACCAGCATATCCCCCGGCATTGCTGTTGTGGGCGATCATCAAGCAGCTGAGCTGGAGCCTGAGATGACTGAGTCAGGGACTGGAGGTTGAGCTGTTGATGGTAATGACAATGGCAATTTATAAACTTGGGAGTAGGGGGCTAACATGGAGTTGAGATGAGTTTGGAGGTGAGCTAAAGAAAGTGGTGGGCCAGGTATTGATTGGGCGGGACATCCACATGGATATTGATGTTACCAAGAATGATGGCAAGAGATGGGGTGGGAAGCAAGATTAATCCAGAATCTTGAGAGTTTAGCTGCTAGCAGGAAGCAACGAAGGGGTCACTTAAGATTAAGGAGAGAACAGTTTAGCTGGATGGCATAAATGTTAAAGAGGGGAAGGAGTTTTCTAAGAAAAGAATGGTCTGGAAGCAGCAGTGTCTAGAAGCACTAACCCTGAGGTTGGAGAGCCATGAGATGCAAGATCCTTGCCTTGCAAGGGCTGCATGGGAAGAGGCAGTATCATCAGAGCACAGGACCATTCAGCATAGAAGTAGAAGACTCGGGGGACTGTTGGTTCCGGGGGCACCGAGGGATGGCTTGGAAGGGTGAGGGATTGGATTAGATCAAGATGTACAGTAGGAGGAGATGAGAGGCCAGTGGTGATGGATGACGGCAGTGAACAGGCATGGGGGGCGTGGTCGGGCTGGCCCTGCTGGCTTCTGGGGCCAGTGGGAAATGTCTCTGGCTCTGTGAGTTCAAAATACTTCCTGCAGGGGTTTGGCGACTCCCAGGCAGCCAGTTCCTCAGCTGCCCGGGGAAGAGCTTGTCCCCTAGCTCTTTGGAGTGCTAGCGTGGCTTGTTGGAGTATGGCTCCCAGCTGTCTGTGGTTGCACGGAAAGGTGAACACCTCCCACACTGCCACACAGCGTGCCTCCCACAGACGGACCCGCAACCAGCGTGCCTCCCACAGACGGACCCGCAACCAGCGTGCCTCCCACAGACGGACCCGCAACCAGCGTGCCTCCCACAGACGGACCCGCAACCAGCGTGCCTCCCACAGACGGACCCGCAACCAGGATTTTTGCGGAGTGTGCCTTTTCACTTTGGGCAAATATTTTGCCAGGAGGCTGACCATATACCTTTTTCCCCCCAAGTTTGCATGCGTTCTCTGTTCTCGATTGCCTCCAAGAGCCATGTTAGGACACGGTTTGTTCTGTTCCGGGCTTCAACGTAGCTGCAACTTGAATCTCTTCCCTAGATATATTGTATGCTGCTTATAGTCCTCCTTCATCTTCTTTGCTTATCAGTGCCTTCTTAAGAAGTGGTTTGGAAACTGCCTCTTCAACATCATGATGAATAAGTTTGGAGGGAACTCCTTTGTTGACTGGCAGTCTCTGAAGGAAGTATCTAGCTTTCTTTTCCATGCATTTGCAACCTTACAGAGAGCAGGGAACTTTGCAGGTGCTAATTCTTTGTGCCCTCTGAGTCAGAAGGAAGACTAAGAAATAGAAAGAGTTCTTCCTCATGTTTCTCAGTGAGTCGTCCTTCAATGCTCATGAATTTCATTATGTCACAACCTGCACCAGGGAGCAGTGAGGCACGATTGAATCCTTCCTCAGTGAAACTTCACATTGTGACATATGAGGTCATTTCAGAAAAGGTTGCGATGAGCTTACACTGACTTATGAAGGCTCAGTCAGTGACCCCAAGGTTAGGATTGGCACCAGGTTGAAAGAGTGATCGTGTCAGCTTGATGTCAGGGCCCGTGCTAGCTAGTCATGCTGTGGCTTTGTTGAAGTCACTGCTGGGTTGAGTTCGACGGAGGTTGTGGTGCCTCCTGGCTTGACGGCTGAGAGGAGGGCACTGAGTCTTTTGCTTATCTGCTGCATCGGGTTACAGCTGGGCTTGCACACAGCATGATAGATGAGCAAGAAGGCAGCCTTCACAACCTTGCACTTGGTGGTAAATTACCCATGGTTTTCCAGTCAGGCATGCACCATGGTGCTATTTTTATTTTGCCTTTCTCTCCAGCAATTGATCTGTCCGGCCTGATGAAATCCTTCAGCTCCAGCACCAGATCAAACATTGTAATCAGCATTGTGAAGTGACTGATACAGCACCTGCTGTGTGGGGAGTTTGCTTTTGGAATGGACACGATGCCGTACGGCACGCTGCATACGCATCTGGAGCTGTGGGCAGAGCAATGACAGACTCATCAGCTTCGTTGAGTTCTAGTGGCACGTTCAAGTGTTTCAGTCACTACGTGCCTTATTGGCTTTGGTTACCAATTAGGGATGTAGAATTAAAACCGTCCAACCATGTACATTTTACCACCCTATTTTCCATTAACTGTCCTAGTCAATAGAATCAAGACTGCACCTTCCTCCACTGCAGTCACATGATCATCTGAATGAAGTGTTCAGTCCTACCTCTCCTTCCGGAAGCTTAGGCAGACAGAAGATGAATTCAGCTGTGTTCCACCTCCCTTCCTCCAGGAAGGGAGAATTTTGAATTGTATCCGTGATACATAACTGCTTTTGATACACTTGCTGAAAGAGACATATCTTTGGTTTCTTTTTTCCCCCTTTCACTAAATGGGTTATGGAAGTCTACTCTAGTTAACTAATTTTTCTTCACAAAGTGGCTGGCTTATGCCACCTTGTTGTACCCTGCAGTTCCTTACGTTCTTAGAGAAAATTCTGAAGGCCCAGAGTTAGGAAAGCCAGTTAGAAGGCAAAACTAAAATGAATGATAATTATAGCTTATCCTGGCCAGGTGCGGTGGCTCAAGCCTGTATAATCCCAGCACTTTGGGAGGCCGAGACAGGTGGATCACGAGGTCAGGAGATCGAGACCATCCTGACTAACACGGTGAAACCCCGTCTCTACTAAAAAATACGAAAAACTAGCCGGGCATGGTGGGGGCGCCTGTAGTTCCAGCTACTCGGGAGGCTGAGGCAGGAGAATGGCGTAAACCCGGGAGGCAGAGCTTGCAGTGAGCTGAGGTCTGGCCACTGCACTCCAGCCTGGGCAACAGAGCCAGACTCCGTCTCAAAAAAAAAAAAAAAGAAGTACTGAATTATAGCTTATCCTGTAAGCAGCAACCACGTGGCTTAGTGTACTTGCAGACTACTCAGAGAAAACGAGGTTAGAAGCAGCTCTCCTCCCAGAGCTCGCAGGGTCGCCGCTGAGGCCGCGGTTCCAGCACAGCAGAGGTGAAGTTACTTTGGCAGTTGCTGACACCACCAAGCCTTAGATAAATAAAAGGCATCAGCTTGTAACCTGGCCAATCACTGAATCTTTACAAGCATAAATATTTATTAGAAGGGCCATGAAAATGGATTTGAAGATGATTAATAAACAGAATAATATCTCATTATTTCATGTGAAGTGAAAACTGGCACCTCTTAAGAATATGCTTGTTACTTTCCAACAAGAACATTGGCAATTTCCAGGACAGAAATTTGGAGTCATGTATATGTGTTATTAAATATTCTGTTGGAGATGAAAGTGGCTGTTGATAAAGCATGGATAGTATCTGGATTTGGGGAAGTTAACAAGATAGTGTAGTGAGGACTAGAAGCCATGGGCCCATCTGAAGCCACAAACAAAAGTTGTGAGTGTGCTTTATGGTCTACCACTAACAGCAAAGGAAACACAAACTATATAACCTGGTCTGCGTGGCAAAAATAAAAGTGGCATTGAAGCTCCTACTTACATACATTAAAAGTAATTTTTTTTATGCTAAGGATTCTGTTGTGCATAAGATAAAATTCAAACTTCTGAACTTGGCCTACAGACCCCCTATGATTTTTAGCCTCTTCCTTGCAGTTTCTCCTGCCACTCTTTGAACCAGGTCATCTTGGACCTGAGACTGTACATGCGCCCTCTCCCCCGGGAGACTTCTCACTCATCATTACCTGACCGACTTATCAGGAGGAGATGCCTTTTCTACCCACCTTGCCTACCACCAGTCACTGACCTAGGTTCCCTTTCTATGAATGCCAGTAGCGCCCCATATTTACCTCATGGTAAATTTACATTATGGGTTTATCACTCTAGTCTAGTTTGATTTTCATGCATTTGTCTACCCCAAGTAAACTGTAAACTCCTTGAAGATAGAAACCGGAGTCTTATTTGCTGTTATATAGTTCCTGCTATAGTGCTTAGCACATAACAGACTCTATAAATATTTGTTGAGTGAATAAAGGAATGTTTTAAGGAACTATGGTATAAAATATAATTTCTAAAACTTTAGGACTTTTAATCATGGGCTGCTCCACTCACTCTCTATGACTTTTGTTCAAAGGAGTATTTATAAACATTGAGCTGTTCTATCTCTTGGCCCAAACTCTTCATCAGCAAAGCAATACCCACTGTCTTAGTCTGCTTGGATTGTAATAACAAAATACTATAGACTGGGTGGCTCAAACAGCAGAAATTCATTTCCACAGTTCTGGAGGCTGGATGGCCAACAATAAGAAGTTAGCTGATTCAGTTTCTGGTGAGGGCCCTCTTCCTGGCTGGCCGGTGGCCACCATCTCCCTGTGTCCTCACGTGGCAGAGAGGAAGAGGCGAAGAGAAAGAAACTGTGTGGGTTCTCTGGCATCTCTTCTAAGGACACTAATCCTGTTGGATCAGGGTCCCACCCTTATGACCTCATTTAACCTTAATTACCTCCTAAAGGCGCTAACTCCAAATACTGTTACGTCCTGGGTTAGGGGGCTTCAGCAGGATTTGGGGGAGGGGCACAGTTCAGTCCATAGCACCCTCGTTTAGGGAAAGGAGCAGGGGCTCAATGCCCAGGTCCCTAAGTCTTTCTGCCTCTATCTTACCAAGGTTCTTGAAGGCCCGTTTCCTCATACATGTATACAACCGCTTTTATTAGTATCTTATACTAAGAATACAACACACTTCTAATAGCATCTCACTTCTTAGCTTAGGTGTCCATACCAGCTGGGGAAAAAATAATCTGGGTTTATCAGTTTAGAACTTCCCTTTGGGCTCATCAAAAAGTCTTATGCGATTTCAATATTGTATTTGTAGAAGAAGGGGAAAAGGAGAGGGAAGGGAAAAAAACAAATGTCTGTCTTAATTTTTCAGAATTTGCTCTTTTCATTAAAATTCTTCTTTGACAACTTTATTTCATGGGACTTGAATACAATATGGATTTTCAAGTACAGATTCTGTAAATCATGATCCTCATGTCAGTCATAAATCACTGGCTCACTGGAGGAGTAGCATGCTGGGCCTCCATAATTCCCCAGAAATACCTAATATAATAGCATAAATCAAAATAACTTACAAAGTGATGATTTTGTGAGCTAAAATACTTTTCTCAGTAGCATCAGGGAAGAGGCCTCATTCTACTAGGATAAAATGCATTTTCATTATGGAATTCAGCAGACATGCTAAAGGAACAAGATTACCTTCCTTGGCCTCTACATTTCCTGTTACTGGTGATGAGTTATTTCAAAATAAAATGTAATGAAAATAACCACTAGTTTTGTTCATTTAATCTTTAGAAAACAATTTGAAGAAATGGCCTCTTATTTTAACTCGTCTTCTGTAAACGAATTTGCTGAACATATAACCAGTGCCACATCAGAAGAACGACAGAAAATGCTAAGAGACTTTTATGCTTCTCAATATCCAGAGGTAAAAGAACTTTTTATGGATTCTGCATCAGAATTCAACACTTCTTCCTTTGAGAAAGGAGAGTGCACCAGGAAGAAATCTGAAAAAAGAGACTCTCTTATAAAAGCAAGGCTGTCAGATTCTGAAACCTTGTCATTTAAAGATTCTACCAACAAAATTTCTCAAGTTTGCAGCCTAAAAACATATAAAAGAAAATCAATTAAGTTTCAAAATCATAGTTCCTGTAGAGAAGAGGTGTATTCTAATGATGCAGAAACTAAGAAATCACCTGTTAGTTCTACTCAAAAGACTGACAGTGGGAAAAATAGCCAAGCATCGAAAGATACTGTGACATCCCGTTCTCAGAACAGTGAGTCTGAAACACATGAGAGAAGGTTAGAAAATACCATGAAAGACAAACAGGACCTCACAAGAATGGGCATTTCAAGAAAAGAACCCCTTCTGAAATTGGAAAACAAAAAGATAGAAAATCCAGTGCTGGAAAATTCTTCTGTGATAAGCTTACTTGGTGATACCTCTATTCTTGACGACCTTTTTAGAAGTCATGGGAACAGTCCCACACAACTGCCAAAGCAAGTTCTTTCAGGGCCCGTGGAAAAAGCAAAACAGAGACCAAAAGATTTCTGGGACATTTTGAATGAGCAGAACGATGAGAGTCTTAACAAACTCACAGACTTGGCAGTAATAGAGACTCTGTGTGAAAAAGCACCTCTAGCAGCGCCCTCCAAAAGGAGAGAAGAGCCAGCAACTCCTCTTTGGAAATCAAATGAGAAATTTTTATGGAAGAAATTTAATTCAAGTAGTACAGATGAAAACACAACCAATACACAGAGTACTACAGAAGTATATAAATGAATTACTGCACCAGTGAACTGCTGCCATCACTGTTTACGGCACTGGATTCCACACTGATTCTATTATCTTGAACACAGTTGTTGACATACATTTTTATTAAATTATTGCTTTAGGATTTTTTAAAGTCTGAAGTATTATCATGGATCTGTTTTTCTTGATATTTGATTTGATCTTTCAAGAATATGATTGTATTTGTAGTATAAACCTCTGTTATGAATTAGAAAAGATTCTAGGTTTGTTAGTAGGAGACCTGGGACATCTTTCTTACTGTATTACATAATGATGTGACACTTGCCCTGTGAGCATTGTTTCCCAGTATGAAAGATGAAGGGTCTGAACCAAAACAGCATGAGTGTCCTTCCAGTTTAAAAAAGCTTTGCTTTGCTCTCCTGATGGCTCATAGTCTGAATCATGTCTGCCCCTCAAATCAGGTGTACACCAATGTGTTTCTTTTTTACTAGCACTTGGGAAAGTTATTAAGTATTTTCTTTTTCCCTGGGTATCATGTTCTATTATTACTTTAGAAAAAAGTCATAACTAGTACTGAATATATGGTATATATGATATTAAAATGGTAATTTTGCAACAGCTCAAAGTTAAAAGGTTAATGTTACTTTGCTATGTGAGCTGTGATTACTACCATTAGCCACAGACACCAGTGCCTCAACTTTTTATGTACCTGTTGTGATTTAATCAATGTAAATAAAGGTTTGTATAGTATTTTTGAAGTATGAAGAAATGAGTCAACTTTTTATTTTGTTAGAAACTATTACATTTTGAGTGTAATTTATATGGTTTACAACAAAATGAATGTGCTCGTTGTTGAATTCATATGTATTTAGAAGCCTTTCCTCGGCCCCTGCGTTCTGTGCTAGGGGCTTGAGCTGTACAGGTAAGGCAGAGCTACAGGTGAATGAAAGGAAATCATGTCGGTGAAAAATCATGGTGGAAAGCCCCGGGTATCTTGTGTACAGGTAAGGCAGAGCTACAGGTGAATGAAAGGAAATCATGTCGGTGAAAAATCATGGTGGAAAGCCCCGGGTATCTTGTGTGCACGCTGTAGGCAGGACCTGCACTGCCTCCGCTGCAGGTTCAGATGCTCCGCTGCAGCTGTCCTTCAGTCAGTTCACAGGGCTGCGAGAGGAGGACACACCCATCCAGAAAACGGCCTGGGCCGGGAACTGGCTGTGCTAGAGAGCACTGCTACCGAGTTGAGGAGAGAGGGCTTCCGTGTACCCAGGATGTGGAGTCATTGCTCAGAAGTGAACAAAAATTCAAAAACCAAAGTCTTCTCAAGGGACTGATCGGCCAAGTGTGCTCTTCTTTAGAGCAGTGTTCCCTTAAAGCCCTGAAGACACCCTTCAGGGAAATAAACAACATCTGCAAATGGTGCAGCTGCCCCTAAGTATTCAAGGCAAAGAAGCCTAAGTTTGCAGAGATGATGATGAACTTTTCATTCGTCCACAGAAATTGAGAACGCCACAGGAAATACACGCTTATTTTCTAATTAAAATTCAGTGTGTAAACTTTTTAAATTCTGAAGTTATCCTTCCTTTATGATATCAAAATAACCCTCTTTTATGAAATGATGATAGATCATAGTTCTTAGTCTTTTTCATTGTCCCTGCCAAGACTAAAAGTTGGCAGTCACGTCGGTCCCAGAAGTTTTATTTGACACTTACTGGTCTATAAAATCCAAAGGAATGGGGATCACTGCCCGCCTTAACGGTTTTTTGTTTTTTGTGTTTTTGGCACGTGGAGGATTTTTATGTCACAAATCCAGCTAACAGTGGGTCTAGGATCCAGGCCTCACCAAGGATGTTGCTGAACCTGCCAGCCCCAGTGACAGGCCCGCACCTTCAGAGGGCAAGAGTGCCCATCACTGTCTGGGCTCAATGCAGACTTGTTTCTGGTTTCACCTCCACCAGAGACTGCAAACCATCTTCCTTCTGCCCACTGCTTCTGGGAAGCCTGACCGGGATGGTTCATAAGCCACCTTGCTGTGGGTGGTACCCCTGTACACTGTGGCGTGTACGGCTGGCTCCACTTGGTGTTTGTTGCAGGCGGGAAGAACATCTCACTTTTGCCTGGCTAAAGGCCCCCCCAGGAGGGCTGTTTTGCCTCGTAGGGTCTTGCAGGGTTTCGCTAGGAAAACGGTGCCTCTGGTAGTTACTCTCTGCCCCTAGGAGGAAAGACAGATTGGCCCTTCCTTCCCGAGGCCCAGGCTGTGTGGTTCCCAGCCCCAAGGTAGCAAGGCAGCACCTCCGGAGAGGCTTGTAAGCATGCAGGTGTCCAGGGTCCTCGTCAAGAGACTCAAAATCAAGGGGTCTGGGGCTCAGCACGGGCACCCTTTTTGTTTTTGCGCTTTCACAGGAATTCTGATGTGCCAGTGATTGTCTGAGGTTTGCCCCTGGGCAGGACTCACCTGCCTGACCTTCTATCTCCCGGGACGCAGTATTTCCAGAGAGGCGCTTCAGTTGCCCCACCACGACTTCCAGCGCCCTCCATGTCCACATACAGCTGAGCTCATGATGGAGCACACCGTGTGCTTTGTGTTGTTACATTCGTATCAAAATGCCCACACATATCTGAACATCTGTGTTCACAGTGGCATTATTCACAATAGCTAAAACATGAAGAAAGCATTCCAAGTGCCTATCAATGAATAAGCAAAATGTTATACACACACATGGGAATATTATTCAGCCTTGAAAGGAAATTCAGACACATGCTACAACATCGATGAATCTTGAGGATGGTGTGCAAAGAGAAATAAACCAGACACAGAAGGACAAATACTGTATGATTCCACTTACATGAAGTACCTAGATGAGTCAGATTCTTAGAGACAAAGTAGAACGGTGGTTGCCAGACACTGGGGGGAGGGGAGAAGGGAGTTATTAATGGGTATAGAGTTTGTGTTTTACTGGATGAAAAGTGGCCTGAAGATGGATGGTCGTGATGGTTGCACAGCAATGTGAATTTAATGACACTGAAGTATACACTTAAAAGTCGTTAAAATGCTAAATTTTATATGTATTTTACCACAATTTTAAAAATAGAAAAAAAGTATAACCAAAAGCAACACCTCTCCAAAATGTGTTATATGCCAAATTTTGACATATGTGAGATCGCTGACTATATTTTACTTATAAATTTGAAATTAATATGGTTTTTACATTGACACTCCATATAAGCCATTATTTTGAAAAAACATTTTCCTTATTAAAAGATTGGGAAGAAAATTCACACATCGCATTTTCTTTTTTTGTAAGACAGGGTCTCACTCTGTCACCTAGGCTGGCGTGCAGTGGCGCAATCATAGCTCACTGCAGCCTGGACCTCCCGGGCTCAAGGGATCCTCCTACCTCAGCCTCCCAAGTAGCTGGGATCACAGACATGCACCACCCTGCCCGGCTAATTTTTGCATTTTTTTTGTAGAGACAGGGTTTCGCCACATTGCCCAGGCTGGTCTCGAACTTCCGGGCTCAAGCAATCTGCCTGCCTTTGCCTGCATTGTTTTTCTATTATACTTAATGTATTTTGTTTGCTTTGCTGCAGGTGAAACTATGATGGTTATATTTATTGCCTAAGTTTCCATTAAGACCAATCTTAATCATACCAATATGATACCTGTCATGGACAGAGATAATACTCATCTGATATTCTTGGTTTTTTACTGCTCTGTTTTGTAGATAAGAATCAAGAATGCTTCTTTCTACAGATATCTTTTTTGTTAGCTAAATAGGCCTCGCAGTCTCATTGAAAGAAATAACTAAAACTCACTTTATATTTTTTCAGTTGATCTGGCGGGGAAATGCATGCAGCTCTGAATTCCTAACACATCTCTAAGGAAACCCCAGTGAGTTGTCTTGTCAGATTAAAATACCAATTATCGACCTCCATACTTTCGGATTTTCTTAATTTTTTTGTAAAGTGGGACATGTTTCTGAACTGAAAGAAACTTCAAAAGAAGCCTCGTAATAGCTCATTCATATTTTTTCTTCTTTCCTAAAACTATTATAAAAGCATTAATAGGAACAAAACAATTATTTTTCAAAATATAAATGCCAGAATGCACCATATGAGAATCCCCCAGCCCCCTCTGCTTGCCTCCCAGCACCCTCATTGTGCTCCAGTGTTCAGCTTTCTCTTCCTCTCCTTCCACCACTCACTGCCCTCTCTTCCCACTGCCGGTACCTAAGTGACCTTCCTTCACCTATGCCTGGCAAAGCCCCAGGTTCCTTCCACATCACGCCTGACTCCGGAATTGACACCTCCCTCTCTCAGCTTCCTGCTCACCATGGAGCCTCAATGACCTGCCCACCATTCCCTCAGGCAGCACTCCCACTGCCCCAAGACGCCATCACACCTTCACCCTGCTGGGACCTCCTAGCCCCCTCAGCTTCCCCTACTCCATATGGTGGGTGTTTCAGTCCGTTCTCACGCTGCTATGAAGAAATACCCGAGAAATACCAGGATTAATTTATAAAGCAGTTTAATTGGCTCACAGTTCCGCATAGCTGGGGCGGCCTCAGGAAGCTTACAATCAGGGAGGCAGTTCGCCTGAAGGGGGAAGAAGGGCACCTTCCTCACAGGGTGGCAGGAGAGGAAGGGGGTGGGGGAAGCCCTTATAAAACCACCAGATCGCCTCACGCCTGTAATCCCAGCACTTTGGGAGGCCGAGGCAGGCAGATCACGAGGTCAGGAGTTCGAGACCAGCCTAACCAACATGGTGAAACCCCGTCTTTACTAAAAATACCAAAAAAAATTAGCCGGATGTGATGGCGCGCGCCTGTAGTCCCAGCTACTCGGGAGGCTGAGGCAGAGGTTGCAGTGAGCCGAGATCGCGCCACTGCACTCCAGCCTGAGTGACAGACACTCCGTCAAAAAAAAAAAAAAAAAAATCTCGTGAAAACTCACTGTCACGAGACCAGCGTTCGGGGAAACCACCTCCATGATTCAGTTACCTCTACCTTGTCCCGCCCGTGGCACGTGGGGATTATTAAAATTCAAGGTGAGATTTGGGTGGGGACACAGAGCCAAACCGTATCAGGGGGACAGGCCTTCGGCAGGTGGATAAGATAAGATGGGAGGAGTTCTGAAATGCACAGCCAGGATGCTCCAGAGGCCAAATCATCAGGCAGGTCATCCCACGGACAGCAGTTAATTCACTGACATGCCAGCAAAGGGCAAACCCAACTGGCGCTGGGGAGCCCAGGTAGGGGCGCCGCTCACCTCCTAAAATGCCCTCAAAGACCCCTTAGGGCACCGCCAAATGCTGGGACGTGTTGGGGTGGACAAGCAGGTCTCAGGAAGCTTAGAAGGTCCCCTAGGTGGGCGCCGAGGGACAAGACCCACGGAGGAAGGCAGCCGCGGATGATGGAATGCCCCCCCAATGGCTTCCGCAGCTCAAAAGGAGACACACGCTTGGCGCTGGAGTCCTCAGAAAAGGCCACTTCCAAACTGTGGGGATGGGGAGTGGCCGGGCCTAAACGAAGGGGAAGGCAGAACAGCCCCCTCCAGTCTCCCGCGGCCGTGAAAACCCCGGAGCAGCAGGCGCGTGGGCCATTGGGTGCGCAGGTTCCTGGTGCGGCTTGGCCAGGCGGGGAGCGCGTCCGACAGTTCACCCGCCGTCCAGGACGCGCGGGCCGGGGAGGGGGAGCGGGAGCGGGCGGAGGGCGGCGCGCCGGGCCCGTCGGGCTGTGGGACCGAAAGTCCTGCGTGTCGGGGGCTGGCAGCGCAGCCGCGGCGAGCCCAGCCCCGGGGGCACCGCCTGCGGGCACAGGAGCCGTTCGGCTTTCCCCCTCGCGCCAGTTACTCAGGCGTCCCGGGGAGCCCCGCGGGCAAGTGTCGGGCTGCGTCCGGGCAGAGGCGGCCTCGCCTGGGTCCGCGCGTTCCCGAAGCCCCCGCGGCGGGGCCCACAACGCGCGCCGGGACCCCCGGAGCCGTCCGCTCCTCCGACTCGGGCTGCTTTTCCCTGTGCGGGAAAGAGAAAGCGAACGAACTAGCTGATGGCTTGGCCGGCTGGAAACGGGCAGCGAGGTCCAGCTGGAGGGCACGAGCTCTCCGGAGCCGCACACCTCGGGGAAGCTCAGTCCCCCGCCCCCGGCAGGAGCGAGGGGCGGTCCCGGGGGCTGCTCCCGCGGGGAGGGGAGGGGAGGGAGGGCGGCGCGACCCTCTGCGGGGTCCATCCCTCCATCCTCCAGACCCCGCGGCCTGCGGGCCACGGGGCGCATTCTCGGGTAGCTACGGGCGGGGTGGAGGGGAACTCGGTTAGCGGGGACGATGGGCCGAGTGCCTCCTGTGCCCCCGCGCGAAGGCGAGGCCAGTGGGCTGGCGGTGTGGGGCGAGGCCGCCGGGGGCCCAGGCACCTGCAGCCGGGAGGGTCCGCTCCCTTCCCCGCCCTGGACGGCGGCCTGCGGGAAAGCAGCCTCCACTGGGTCCCGCGCGCGTCGCGCCGAGGTCGTGGAAGGCCGAGGGCGGGAGGGCGGAGGCGCCGGCAGGGTCGGCGGGACTGGGGCTCGGACG